CAGGTCACACGATCTCAGGGTACTGGGATCGAGCCCCGCATCAGGGTCTCTGCTTGGCAGGGAGCCTGCTTCCTCCTCTCTCTCTCTGCCTGCCTCTCAGCCTACTTGTGATCTCGGTCTGTCAAATAAATATAATAAAATCTTTAAAAACAAGCAAACAAACAAACAAAAACAAAAACACCCACCAAAACTAGAAAACTACCACCACGGACACAAAATCGATAAAACAACTAATTTCAAAAGATAGTAACAGGAAATGGAATACCAAAAGAAGAAAGAGGAAAGAAAGAAGTATTTGAAGGAACACTGGCTAAGAACACTCCAAAATTAATGACACCAAACTACAGATCTAGGAGGCACAGAGAACACCAAATAGAAAAAACAAACAAACAAAAAAAACACTCCCAAATCTACACTTAGGCATTTCATTAAAAAAGGGGCAAGAAATCAAAGACAAAACAAAAAACAAAACCCAAAAAACTGCAACCCTTGAAAGCAGCCTTGGGGAAGAGGTGGAAGGGGGTAGGGTGGGGTGCCCTGTGCCTCTAGAACAAGGAGGAGAATCACAGAGGACATCTGGTCAGAAACCAGGCAAGCAAGAGAAGAGCAGAGTGAAATTTTTTTATAGTGTTGAAAGAAAAAAATCCCACCAACCCAGAATTCTGCATCCAGTGAAATTACCCTTCAAAGGTGAAGGGAAAGACCTCAGACACACACACCCACTAAACACTGAGGGAACTCATCACCAGCAGACCTGCCCTGCAAGAAAGGTGAGGATATTTTCTTTAGGCAGTGGGAAAATGTAAGCTGTCAGAAACCTGGATCTAGGGGCGCCTGGGTGGCTCAGTTGGTTAAGCAGCTGCCTTCGGCTCAGGTCATGATTCCAGGGTCCTGGGATTGAGCCCCGCATCGGGCTCCCTGCTTAGCAGAGAGCCTGCTTCTCTCTCTCCCTCTGCCTGCTGCTCTGCTTACTTGTGCTCTCTATCTCTCTGTCAAATAAATAAATAAATAAATAATCTAAAAAAAAAAAAAAACCTGGATCTACACGAAAAAAGGATGGGCAATGGGGAAGGAGTAAATGCCAGTGAAATGAACTTATCCCTGCCTACCAATTGATCTGAAAGGTAACTCTGTGTGTAGTATTAGCAGTAACAACGTAATGGGCCACCGATGAACAGATCCGTGAGAACAGCAGCAGCAATGTCACAGGTGACAGGAGGGAGGGATCAGGAACTCTCTGGGAAAAGGTACCTACACTAACACGAAGCAGAACAGTGTTACCTGAAGGGGACTCAGATTAGTTAAAATGCATATTCTAATACAACTGCTAAAAAACATTTTTTTTAAAGCATAACCAATATGCTAAAGACAGAAGATAAAACAGAATCCAAAAATGCTTAATTAAAAGTAGAGAAGACAGAAAAAGGAAGTCTCTGATAATGAACAGAAAACAGAACGATGGTTATTATTAACCCAAACACATCCAAAATTACTTTAAATGTGTCTAGTCTAAATATACAGATGAAAACACAGATTATCAGAGTATATTAAAAAAACAAACCCCACCTAGAGGTGTCGACAAGAAACCTACTGGGAGCATAAAGACCCCTGTGAGTTAAAAGGAAAGAGATGGAGAAAGAAATATGGTGCTGGCGCTCACAAAAAGCCGGAGCACCTGTATTAACTTCAGACAAGTCAGACTTCAGAGTAGAAAGATTATCGGGGATAAAGAAGGGCATTCCGTAATGATAAAAGGGTCAACTCCCCAGGAACACGTAACAACCCTAAATATGTAAGCACCGAACAACACAGTGCCAGATTCAGTGCGACAAAAACAGACAGGACTGCAGGAGGGGGAGAGTCTGCTGTGGAAGCCGGAGACGCTGACAGCACTGTGCCCCGAGCAGGCAGATTCAGCAGCAGGTCAGGAAGGACATCTCAGACTTAGCAGTAAGTGATGTCTGAGGACAGCCTGCCTCATGTAGTGACAGCAGAGTATGCACGTCTCTCCAGCTCACCTGGAGTGCTGACCAAGACACACCAGCTCTGGCCCCAAAACATTCCTTAGCACATTCAAAAGAACAAAAGTCACACAATGCCTGTTCCCAGACCACAGTGGAATTAAAGCAGAAATCAGTACTAAAAAGATAGCTGGGAAATCCCCAAATATTTGCAAATAAGATTTTTTGCCATACAGTTTTGATTTTTATCTAGAATTTCACTACTGGATCTTTCTCCTGTAACTACTTTTTAACTTTCAAGTAACTTGTATCTCAACATATAAATTAAACGTATCGCTGGTACAAAGACATTTGAAAACAAAAACGGTCCTCAAGTTATTCTCTAAGTTCAAAAACAAATTTTTCAGGGCGCCTGGGTGGGTCAGTTGTTAGGCGTCTGATCCTGGGGTCCTGGGATGGAGCCCCGCGTCAGGCTCTCTGCTCAGCAGGGAACCTGTTTCTCCCTCTTCCACTCCCCCTGCTTGTGTTCCCTATCTCACCATGTCTCTCTCTGTCAAATAAATAAAACCTTAAAAAAATATATTTTTTCTATACTACTCATCCCAAGCATTTTAAGTGCTAAGTATTTGCCCACAATAGCCAGAGTATGAATTAAAAGAATTACAACTACAATAACATAAAGTCCTAACGGCGACAAATGCCACCTCACCAGAGCAAAAATCCCTGAAGGCCTAAAGAACACAAACACGGAAGCAGCTGAGCTTCACACTCACAGCTGCCCTCCACCATTCAGCTTGCATCTCTGCCTCCCACGCTGATAAGCCTGCTCTGACGTAACTGAAGACATGTGTGCATCTTTAGAAGGGGCTTCTACCAACTCCTATGGGGCTGTGAACACACCATGGACTCACAGTATGCAACTAAGTCAAACTAACTCAAATAAGACTCAAGTGACAGTGCAAGCTCGTCTAGGGAAACATTTTTATATCAGATTCAAGGGAAGTATTTTGCCAAATGCATCTCATTTTTCTAAATAGACATGGCATCTAGCTAATGTATCTTAAAAACATCAGGGGGGGGGGGGGGCGCTGGGTGGCTCAGTCCTTAAGTGTCTGCCTTTGGCTCAGGTCATGATCCTGGGGTCCTGGGACTGAGTCCCACATCAGGCTCCCTGCTCAGGGGGGTTCTGCTTCTCCCTCTGCTCCTCCCCCACTGCTCGTGCTGGCGGTCTCTCTCGCTCGCTTTTGCAAATACAAATAAATAAAATCGTGAATAAAATAAAATAAAAGCATCTGTGAATAGTCCTGACATCAGTAGCAAAGTGACGGAAATAAAAGCTTACTAGCGCGTCCTCTGCACTTCCTACCCATGAATCCTCCCTAACTATCTACTGGATTGAAGTTCACAAGGTATTAAATACATTTTATATACAGATACTCCCCCAAAATATTTTTCTTCTCTTATACCCTTTTATGGACTACCAATAATGCCCTGAGAAAAAGCTAAGTCAGGGGGAAAAAATCAGTTTTTAACTGAACGTCCCAACAGCCTTTTGGAATAATCAATTTCACTACTTTACTTGAAGATGTTTAGGAACTGATTCTTCAACAGAAAAACATTAAACAGAACATTCTCTACTCTCTCCTGGAGGTGGCTCCCAGGAGCTAGAGGGCAGCTGTATTCAGGTAAGAACAGAATGGACAGCCTCCCAACCATACACTCACCCAGAGGGAAAGAGGCTAGAGACAAGGCAGACCATGGAGACAGCCTGGCTTTGCATACACACCGGAAAATCTTCCTTCAAATCACTCTACTAATAAAGCCATCATTAAATGTCCAAACTGAGCGACATTCAATCTAACAAAATTCAAGCATCGCATCAATGTGGCAGTTACTAAGTACTTATTGCAACAGAATGTGACAGACTGACTTTATTCTATTCTAAATCAGTGGTTAGGTGCCCCTTCCCAGCAAACAAACAGCAAAGCCCACTGATAGGCTACACACACCCTACTTCACAGCAGATGCCCCGTGGGGAAAGAAAATGTTCATGTAGCCTAAAAAAGCCCCTTCCATCCCATCCAGCCCCTCCCTTCTCCCAGCTGAGAATCACTGTTTTAAATAATATATCTGTAGAGTTTGGGGAAAACTAAAAATTTCACTGTAAAATCTAAGCTACGAAAATAGAAGCATGGGGTTCTCTGAGAAGAACTACGTAAAGAGCAAACCTTTTCTACATGCTCACTCCTTCTCAGAATAGCCTTTGAGCACAGCTGGTCTGGGAGGCCCTTTCCTTTGTGCCTTCAGTCGCCTCCCAACAGCCTGCACGGCGCTGCGACCTTCTCTCGACTACGCTTAGGATTCCTCCTTTAGTAATTTCAGACATTGAAGAGCCCAGCTAGTGTCAGAGGACCCAGGGTGTACTCACTATATCTTATCTGTGCAACATTACAACAAAGAGCCAGGCCCTTGGGGCGCCTGGGTGGCTTAGTGGGCTGAGCCTCTGCCTTTGGCTCAGGTCATGATCTTAGGGCCCTGGGATCGAGCCCCACATCGGGCTCTCTGCTCAGCAAGGAGCCCGCTTCCCTCTCCCTCTGCCTGCCTCTCTGCCTACTTGTGATCTCTCTCCCTCTGTCAAATAAATAAATAAAAATCTTAAAAAAAAAAAAAAAAAAAAAAAAGAGCCAGGCCCTAGGAGGCCATAAGCAAAGAAATGAACTGGCGTATGGGTGAGCAGAGCCGTGTATGCAGTTCCCCCAAGTACAACCCGTTACACCAATATCATTTGGAAAACTTTACATTCTAGGTAATTCTGAAGGAGTATACCACAACTTTTGTGATTGTTTTTTATAACTGTGAATGTTCAAAATTCTGAGAGCCTAAGAGATTATGGTAAAAGGAGACATTTGAGGACCTTCCTACCAAGAGCAGACTTGGTCCTAGACATTGCCAATTTACGATTTTTGTTTGTTAAAATATGTACTTCTTGTACAATCTTAGTGACAGGTGAGCTTCCCGGCCCTCTTTGCCCTAACTTACCTTACTGTGTGCGAAGGGGGGCGCCGTATACAAGGTGGGGTGGATGAGAGGGCGGGGCAGGTGCGGGACGGCGTGCAGAGGCACATGTCCATGGATGTGGGGGTACAGATGCAGGGCAGGGTGTGTGGGCTTCTCGGGGCTTAGGAACTGATGGCCTGGGGGAAGGGCTCCTGCGGTCATCGCTGATGCCGTCAGTCCGGAAGCTTCTTGCTTACAAACATGACATTCACAAGCGTTTGCAGCTTGTTCAGCCTAAAAGGAAAGAAAAAAAAGAAAAAAAAAGTAAAAAGTTCAACCTAAAGGGAAAGAAAAAAAAGGACTGGTGTGAATTAAACTAATGTCAGCCACATTCTGCTGAGCAGGGCTCCCGTGACACCTCGAGTTGTCCAAAGCCCTCCTTGTAGAGTACAGAAGGGACCCCAAGAGCCTGGGATGAAGGGGACCTGTGGAGAGAAGAGACGAACACCTCATGCCCTGGCCGGGTGTCAGCTCAGGTAGCAGTCACACCCATCTGCGCCTGGGCCTGTCTGTGCAGGGACAGGGAACCGGCAAGGGTGGCCTAGGGGAGAGGGAGAGAAGAACTGGAGCCCAGGAGGACAGAGCACTGGCGTGGGCGGGGCTCCCTCGGCTCAGGAGTGGTTCCACCGAGATGGTGCCAGACGAGGCACCAGAGATGGGACTCAGTGAGGGTGACATGAAGCAGTCGGTAGCTCCTCTCCCTCAAAACAAGGGTAAAACTGAATGCGATTGTCAAAGCAATCATTTAAGGATCTGAAAATCAACCAAAGGGAAACAGCAAATCCAGAAGCATTTATTCATGCCAATCTGCTAGAACGTAAGAGCAGCAGGAGCCTGGGGGCGCCTGGGTGGCTCAGTGGGTTAAAGCCTCTGCCTTCGGCTCAGATCATGATCTCAGGGTCCTGGGATCGAGCCCCACATCGGGCTCTCTGCTCAACAGGAAGCCTGCTTCCTCCTCTCTCTCTGCCTGGCTATCTGCCTCCTTGTGGTCTCTGTTCGTCAAATAAATAAATAAAATCTTAAAAAAAAAAAAAAAAAAAAAGAGCAGCAGGAGCCTGGCCTTTTTGCCTGGGGCTCTTCCCATTCCCAACAGCCCTTAAAAAAACCAAAGAATCAACAGCAGATTTAAACAGTACACTAAAAATTTTAATACAAAAAAGGGAGTAAAGGGGGAACAGAGGAACAAAAAACACGAAACCTATGGAAACAAAGTGGCAGCTGCACGTGGCACAGCCATCATGACTGACATCAATGCCCTCCAGACAAAAGGCAGAGATTGATGGACAAAGTACAAATACAAAACCCAACTAAAGGATTCAAACACAAATCTTAAACTCAAACATACAAAGAAGCTGAAATTCAAAGGATGAAAAAATAGATACCATGCATACAGTAACCCTCCGGCTGCCGGAGCGACTCTGCTGGTGGGATGAAATGCTCTCTCAGATGAGAGAAGCTAGCGGAGAAGCATCTCATAATGACTAAAGAGTCGACATGTATCAACAATCACACACATACACTGCCAACAACACTGTCCCAAATGCATGAATTTGGCTCATCTGAAAAGGGAATAGACACTCTGGCAGTGATACGAATACGTCAGTATGTCTCTCAGGAATTTTTAGAACCATGCAGATAATCAGGAAAGATTCAGAGAATTGGAATAACGCTATCAATTTGACCAAACTTTTATTCATAGGACACCCCATCTAACGAGAGCAGAACACAAATTATTTTCAAGTATACATAGAACATTATGTAGGACAGACTAGATGTCGGGCTATAAAACAGGTCTCACTATATTCGGAAGTCCATATATTCGGAATCCATAACCTAAACTTAAGAGTCAACAAGCTAGACAGGGAAAAACAAACTAAACCCAAAGTCAATGGAAAGAAATAATGGAGATTAGAACAGAAATCAATGAAATAAAGAGAAAAACATAAAATTAATAAAACTCCCAATTTTTTTTTTACAGAAATTGGTAATTCTTTAGCCAGACTGAAGGTTTAAAAAAAAGCAGACAAAATTACCCAACTAATGAATTAACATCACTCCATATCCTGAGAACTAAAAGAATCATAAAGGAATATAATAAACCACCTGATGCCATCAAAGGAGACAGTGCAGGTGAAATGGACGAATTCCTAGAAAGACATAAAAATTTTAAATTAAGAAGAAATAGAAAATCTGACTAAACCTATAACAAGTAAAGAAAATTTGAATTAGTCATTCTAAATCTTCCCACAAGACCAGGCCCATGGGATTTCACTGGTAAATTCTATCAACTATTTAAGAAATCTCAACTTTAGACAAATTTCTTCAGAAAATATAGGCAGAATAAACACTTCCCAACTCATTCTAGGAGGCCAATATTACCCTGATATCAAAGCCAGACTGAGACAAAAATCCTAACAAAAGATTAGCAACTAATCCAGCAACATACCAAAAGAAAAAAAGTTTATACACCATGACCAAATGGGATTTATTCCAGGAACACAAGGTTGGTTTAACATTCAAAAATCAGGGGTGCCTGGGTGGTTCAGTCGGTTAAGCATCCAACTCTTGATCTCAGGGTTTTGAGTTCAAGCCCCATGTGGGGCTCCACATTGGACATGGTCTACTTAAAAAAGAAAAAAAAAAAAAAAAAATTCAAGAATCACTTGATGCAACACACCACAGTAAAAGAATGAAGGATGAAACCACAAGAACATTTCAATAGATCCAGAAAGAGCATCTGGAGAACCCAATATATGTTCACAATAAAACTCTTAGGAAATGAGGAGCGGACAGGATTTATTTCCTCAACCTGGTAAGGTTGTCCTCGACAGATGCGCAGCTGGGATCATCCTAGTCACAGACTGGGCGACTCTCCCCGGGACCGGGAGCAAGGCAGAGTTGTGTGCTTGTACCGCTTCTCTGCCGCGCTGTGCTGGACATTCTGGCCAGCTCAGTAAGCAAGAGGAAGACGCTGTGTTTCCAGACTGAGAAGGAAAAAGTAAAATTGTCTTTATTCACAAACAACATGACCTTGCATATAGAAAATCCAAAGGAATCTAACCAAAAGAGAGAGAGAGAGAGAGAGGGAGAGAGAGACCAAAGAATAAACGAATTAAAGCTGCAGAATATAAGACAAATATCTGAAAATCAACTGTATTTCTATATATTACCAATAAATTGAAAATTGAAATAAGAAAATATCACTTTCACAAAATCAAAAACATCTAATACTTAAGAATGAATTTAAGAAATACATTCAAGACCCACTGACTAGAAATTTTTTTAACTGCTGGAAGAAATTAAAGATGATTTAAGTAAATGGAAAGAGAACAGCACATTCCTAGGCTGACAGATGCAATGCCATTAAGACTGGATTTTCCTCCAAGTGATCTACATCACCTCACAAAGAAAAGAGCAGGCCCAGAGGAGTCTGCTGTGAATTCTATCAAGTATTCAAGAAGTCAATACACTCTCTATCAAAATTCAGGCAGTTTTTTTGTAGAATAAGCTGATTCTAACACTTACACGGAAACATGAAGGACTCTGAACAGCCTACATAAGTTTCAATAAGGCCCACCAACCTGGGGGGCAGACCCTACCTGCTGTCCAAACTTACTACGAAGCAGGTCACACACACCGCGGGAAAGGACCCAGAGGTCCAAGGAGCAGAGAACGCAGAGTGCAGACAGCAAACGCATGTATTTAGAGCCCCTCAATGTTCAACAAACGGCTAATGCAACTCAGCAGGAAAAGACAGGCTCTGTCAACAAATGCTGCTGGGCAACTGGATGTAGACGTAGCAAAAAGCTGAACGTAGCCCCTTGCCTCATACTGTGAGGAAAACTGAGTCAAATGAACCACACCTTAAATGAGAGCTCAAGTTAGAAATCTTGCAGAACAAAACAGAGTTTTCTTGGATATGACATCAAAAGCATGATTTGTAAAAGGAAAAATCGAGGAATTGGAATTCACCAAAATTAAAAACTTCTGCTTTTCAAAAAATACCATAAAACCTAACAGACAGGGGCGCCCAGGTGGCACAGTCGGTTAAGCATTGCACCCGGCTCAGGTCGGGATCTTTGGGTTGAGAGATCAAGCCCCTCAGGTGATTCTGTGTGCTAAGCAAGGAGTTAGCTTGGGATTCTCTCTCCTTCTCCTTCTGACACCCACTGTGTGCATGCACATGTGTACTTTTTCTCTCTCAAATAGGTAAATAAATAAAATCTTTAAAAAAACCAACACCACAAAAACACAACTAATATACATGCCACAGACCCAGAGAAAATCTCTGCAAATCACATACTAATAAAGGACATATAATAGCATAAAAAGAAGTCTGACATCTCAACAATAAGATGGAATGGGAAATGCAAGGAAGACCGAAATCTCAAGGGGCTGCCATTTCTCACCAGACTGGCCAAACCCCAAGACTACGACATCATCCTCTCCTAGGGAGCAGGGGAGACCATCACACTCTAGACCCAGAGAAGCCACCACTGGTGACCACTCCTAGGAACAGACCTGATGTAGGAAGGTCAGATGTATAAGGTCGCTCACCGAATAGCATAAAGGGAAAACAAAGGGAAGCAAACACAAGTGCCCACCAGCAGGGACTAAAAAGAGAATTCTGGTATGTCCACCTGCTGGCACACAGAGAGGGCAACAGACAAGGACGAGGAAGTGTGCTCCACACAGAATCAGTCAGGATATAATGTTGAGAGGAAAAGCAAGGGGGGCTGAGTGTGCATTAGTATAAGCCTTGTCACAGAAAAGGAAAGAATAAATATTAGCATTTGCATAAACAAACACTAGAAGGACACAATAATAAGACTGGTTACCTACTGGGACTAGAACTGGGGATGGGCAGGTGCTGGGCAGGGCAGAGGGTGAACAACGCTAGGGCCAGACTTCTTCTTTTTTTTTTTTTTAAAGATTTTATTTATTTATTTGACAGAGAGAAATCACAAGTAGGCAGAGAGGCAGGCAGAGAGAGAGGAGGAAGCAGGCTCCCTGCTGAGCAGAAAGCCCGATGTGGGGCTTGAACCCAGGACCTGGGATCATGACCTGAGCCGAAGGCAGCGGCTCAACCCACTGAGCCACCCAGGCGCCCCAGGGCCAGACTTCTTAATGAAACACCTTTTTGTACCGCCTTTCTTGTTTCAACTATGGACCTATACTGACTATTAAGGAAAATAATTTAGCCAAGCAACCCGACCATCATTTGTTCTTCCTTTCATTTAAGAACTATGTGAGCGGGGTGCCTGGGTGGCCCAGTAGTTAAGCATCTGCCTTTGACTCAGGTTATGGTTCCAGGGCCCTGGGATCGAGTCCTGCATTGGGCTCCCTGTTCATCGAGAAGTCAGCTTGTCCCTCTCCCTCTGTCCCTACTCACTGCTCAAGTGTGTACTCTCACTCTCTCAAACAAATAAATAAAAACTTAAAAAAAAAAAAAAAAAAAAGAACTAAGTGAGCATCTATTCATAAAATTAGGAGTCTCTAAGAGAAAAGAGTCATTGCCGGAGGTACACTCACCTTTTGGAAACAGAAAAACAGACCTCCATCAGAAAAAAACCTCCCTTACAAAATCAACTTTTTTCTGAAATTTTAACATTCCATTATTTTATTTATTTAAAAAACCCTCCCTTTGCTTCTTTACATACAAAAAAAGCCCCTCTATGACAGCTAACTGTCTGGAGCGACTCGGATGCTGCAAAATTGAGACCGTCGAGTGGATTAAAGCAAGAGGAACAAGATGAAAACAGGGTGAGGGACCATGTTTGTGTATTTTATCAGTGGGCCTCAATCCTCTCCAGTTCTAATCTTTAGAAGCTATTCAAGATAACACAATTTTGCATTCAATGATGCTCATGTTTAGAGAAAATATACACAAACACAGACACCCTCAGCGAAACATAAAGTTTGGGAAAATGAAATCATACCTGCTGAGTAGGGTAAGACGGGGGTGGACTGTCCGCTTTCCTCTCCTCATTCCTGGGACTCCCACTGCCTAGAGCTCCATCTTGCTCTGGGGCTCCCGGCGGCTCCCCACTGCTCTCGCCATCTGCCTCCTCGTCGTCGGCCTCTGAAGAGCTGCTGCTGGTACTGCTTACCTGAGGGGACTTCAAAAACAAACTTGGTAATTTATACTTTTCAAAGTGGAAGAACTAAAACAAACAAGACACCAGATCACCACCTGATGCCATCTCTTGTCACTGTGAAGAAGTGGTGTCCATACCTCATCTTTCAGGGCCATGTTTTCCCCGCCACCGTTCAGCTCGCTGTGGATTCCATTCATACTGGCCACCACCTCGGTATCATCGTAGTTACTCAGTGGATAAATATCAGCAAATTTAGCTGACAACGGTGCAACGTCTTCATCGTCACTACAACTGAGACAGGCAGAGACGGTCACCATGAGGCTGCTCACCAGGGGACAGGGAGTACACCGCCCATGGAGCCCGATGCTGCCTTTACAGGCTGTTCTGGTTTGCGGGAATATTACACTGAGCACCACGCACACTTGGTAACATCTCCTGATAACCTGAACACCGGGGGAAAAATGCCTGAAAGATTACCATCTGTGCTACACAGAAGAATGGAAAACAAAACACCAAAATAAGAAAAATATCTGGGAAACTGCCAAAATTTAATCGGATTAATTATTACTGCATTTCCACTGGGCTTGAAGTGCCTCAGTGTACAACTGTTCGCTGCCATTTCCAAGCAGACACAATTAATTTTTTATTAAAATTAAAGGGAGTACAAAGAACCACCAAAGTTTCAGACGTAGCCAGTTGAACAAAACTTTAAAGGCACTTAGGTGACAAAATACTAAAAGTTTTTTACTACAAAGGCCTGCTCTCGACAAGTCACTCATGATCTGAATTAAATATCAGCTTTTTTTTTTTTTTAAAGATTTTATTTATTTATTTGTCAGAGACAGAGGGAGAGAGAGTGAGAGAGCACAGGCAGACAGAGAGGCAGGCAGAGGCAGAGGGAGAAGCAGGCTCCCTGCTGAGCAAGGAGCCTGATGTGGGACTCGATCCCAGGACTCTGGGATCATGACCCGAGCCGAAGGCAGCCGCTTAACCAACTGAGCCACCCAGGCGTCCCTAAATATCAGCTTTAACAAGACATCTAAACAATGGGCAAATGGAAGATTTACTTAAAAAAAAACAAAACAAAAAAAAAAAACAAAAAAAAACTAGTAGGCAAATTTCAAGGCTGTAGCTAATGAAGGACACTTCAAACATAGGCTTTTCTGGTGTGACAAGGGCAGGCACACAGTCTCCACATCAGGGCAGACTGTGCAGGGCATGGACCATTCGTGGTCAGCCCACCGTGACCATAAACATGCCTCTCAGTCCGTCTTTAGCTCTCCATACAATAACTTCCAGAAGGAAAAATCCTACAAACTGGTGATCTTTCGGATTTAGTAGAGTGTCCAGAATTGCTCAACTTAGATGTCCTTCCCATTTTTGGAAAAAGAGGGAACACAATATGCCGTAACCTGAAGTTCACCACGGTTAGTACCCACAGTACCCACCAGGTGAAGGCTGCTCAGGTCTCCTGAGGCCCGCGGCACCTGAGGTGATGGAATGTGTGGCCTTGGCCAACACTCATACCCACTCCCGAAACATCACCACCACTACCACGAGTCACAGATGACATGAGGTGATTGAGTCATTTGCTCAGTGTAATGAAGGCAGGCTACAGCTCCCCTAGGGCCCCCGAGAACCAAACAGCCCTGCGGCACAGAGACTCCAGGCACACGATTCTCTCCAACCGACTTAGTGCTGACACCAAGAAAGAGATGACACAAACCAAAGGCAACAACGGAGGCTTTCAAGTCATCACAGTTCATGTTTAGAAGACATTAATCCTAGCTGCTGAAGGACCAGAGGTCCAGCACAGCCGCAGGCAGTCCTGGCCCACAGACAAAGGTACCCCAGCGCACTTCCTCCACTGCGCAACACAGCGCAGAAGCCCACACCTGACATCAGTGTGACAAAGTAGCAGGGATGGGCTTTTCCAACATAAATTTTTTTTTACATTTATTTAAACACCATATGTGTTTAATTTCAGTCTGTTTTTAGTTAGAGGTTGCCAAACAGCTAGCTGGGAAACCCTCGACCCTCCCTCACAGGCCCCAGAGAGAGCACAGGGTATTCAGGTCTAGAAAGCAGCTCGAACTCAAAGAGTCATGGCATTCAGGCCAATCCCTTCAGAATTATTTTGTTTTGAGACCAGATCCATACTGAGGACTGCAAGACTCTGAAGGAAAGCCTCAGAGTCGTCAGGAGAAATCCAGATGGAGGTGGTGAGCAATCTGAGAGACGCTGAGTAGCCTGAGGTCAGGGCCACAATCCCTCCCATGGGGAACCACGCTGGCGGCCATCGCCTCCACGGGGCTCCTGACACCCGCACGCTCTATGATAAACAAAATGCAAACCTAAGTTTACCTAAACAAAATAAAGACACACATCCATGTGCAACCTGTCCAGAAGTTTGAAAGGAAAGCCTCAACAAATGACAGGGTCACAACTCTGAAAAAACGTGAGGCCACTCACCTACAGTGTGAACTGGCGACGACCGCACAGCCCCCTCGCTCATACAAAATGTACTTCTAGATAATGTGGGAACACGGAAAACAGAACCTTTCAATTGCTTGCTAAAGTGATCTTCTGAGTTTTTAGCAAGACATGGAATAAGCATGAATGCTGAACGGACAATGAGGCGGAATGAACTTCGGGCTGATCACCCTCAAACAAAATGGGAAACATGAAGCCAGAACTGAAGAGACACTTCCCTGCATACCAACATGGTTTTTTCTTTACTGGCATTTATAAATTTACCGTATTTTCTTTTCATGTAATGAAATAGTGTCAAAGTTTGGGTTTACTGATTTCGTATTTTAAAAGTTGCTTAAAAAATGAAGGATCCTTTTTCTTGAAAAGCACTATAATGATATCCATACTTCTGTAGACATTACTGTCCATATGTCTCATCATTGGGTTACGTAAATTTCTGAAATCTTATTACAAAGTCACAACTTACAAAGTTGGTGCAGAGCCACTGTCTGTGAGGATGAGTCTGGGATGTTGCTGAATTGTAATGGGAGAGCTGGAGCCTGACCCTGAGCTTGCTGAGGACACGCTAGGTGGACGCATCTCAGAGAGATAGTCAGGAGCAGAATCCACTTGGAGGGGCAGCTGGTGACTGTGGATGTCGCCAGTGACGGGGGGGTCCATAACACCACAAGTGAGGATGTGTGAGAGGCTGCAGTCATCACAAGCACATCTGAGTGGGAACGAAGGACAGTTACCCAGAGATCCGAGAGAGCTCAGACAGAGCTCTGTCGGGCTCGGCGCCCGGGCCAAGGCTGTGGCTCCCGCAGGCCCGCCACGCCCACACAATTTCGCAGGCTCACCTTCTCCTGTAGTTACAGTTGGGGCAGTCGGGCATGCTGAGCCGGGACGACAGCATGTGCCTCATGGCATCCGTGAAGTTGTTCTCGCCAGTGACTGCCTTCTTGTTGGTTAGCTAGAGGAAACCATCAAATGAGAAGTTAACTTTGCAAGACATGCTCCCAGTCAGGTGGTCCAGCTTCTCTGTAATCATGGTACTGGGTGCCATGCTCATTCAGAAGCCAGTGACCACAGTTTCCTAGAGTGGGACAGGGCCGGGAAGGGGCAGACCTGAAATGCATGGCAGCCAACGGCCTGAGCCTCACAAAGGCCAGGGAGCAGGAAGCCCTGGCTGGTGCCTCACCAGCAGACACCCAGCCTTTACCTGGAATCAGCTGTGTGCTCGGTTCTCACTAGGGACCAGGAGCGCAGAGCTAAACCGCAGCCCCCCAGGGGCTTAGACCCTGGAAGAGGAAACCATGATGTGGGAGGTGCCCTGGCAGAAAAGCAGCAGGGCGCCGGGCCCACATAGGGCCCAGAGGAAGCACTGTTGGGAATGTTGTCAGAGGCAAAGAGGGCATCCACGTCAGGAGCAGAGCACCGAGCCAGGCATCACTGAAACACCTCTGGAAGGCCTGGCTGACCCTGGGCTGAGCAGGAGGGAGTCTTGGGGGATGGGACAGAGGATTGCGGGGGGGGGGGGGGGGGTGTACCCAACAGAATAGCCTGGAGGCACACAGGCCCGCACACGAAGAGCTGCAGCATTAGATGGCCCACGAGTTAAAAGGCATTTGTGACACATGACAGAAGCAGGCAGGTGGGAGGATGGCCAGCTGGGGAGAACACCCACTGCAGGAACAAGGACTGGCACGTGAAGGGTGCAGATCCAGGAGCTACCTACCAGTCGACAAGACAAGCATCGGGATTGCAGAGAAGAAACCTACAGACCAGCTCTGGCAACGGGATGGGTGGTGCTAGAAGGGCCATCTGATAGGCTAGACGCCACACAGGAAGGGTTGGGGGATGGGAGCCGGTGAGCGAGCCCAGTGTGGGTGGAGACCACAGGGGCAAGGACACCAAAATGGGGGAAGGGACACCAATGCCTGAGGAAGGGGGAGACAAAGATGCCAGCTTGTGAAGAAGAATCAAGGGAGTCAAGTTTCCAAAGTCGAGTGCCCTGAGGCCATCGGGGCAAGACTCCCAGCCAGCCACAGGGAGGTGCAGAGGGGTAGGGAAGTCTGTAGGGAAGGAGGGAGCGAGCTGTGTTGTCAGCAGCTACACTGAAAGCTCAGCCCAGGCCCATGTGGGGAGGCCTGTGAATCGGGCCTGAGGGGAGCAGGCTGGCTTCCAGCTCTGTGACTTAACAGCACAAGCTGCCTCCAAGACCAGACACCAGGGACTTGGGTGGCTGTGGGCTAGTGTGGTCACTCGATAAATGGGATTTTCCTTGAGAAATACAGAAGAGAAGGAAATGGATAAGGGAGACTAGTTAGGAGCAGACCCACAGTGTGGCCTTGGAATGGTATTATTCCCTGCGCAGGCGCACAGCCCCCCCACCCCTCCAAGCCTCACCTGCTCCTCAATGAATCGCCTCTGTTTGAAAAGCTCCCAGTCCTCTGTCAGGATGCGCTGTTTGGTTTTCATTGTCATCTAGGAAGGAGATGCAAACAACAAAACCTTAGTGCCAGCAAGAGCCAGCCAGGCTTCTGCAAGGGGAGACCTCAGAAACGGTGCCCAAGTCACTCCCCCTGCAGATGAGGAAGGCACAACAGACTTGTGGCCCCAGCGCCCCACCTCCTTCACGGGTTCTGTTCGCATGGGAAACATGGAGAAGCTCACACTTAAAAAAGAACTGAAGGTCCCAGAGCTGAAGCTGTTCTTGCGGTAAGTGAGCATTCAGCCTATACTGGCCTGTGCCCGAGATAAAGCGTGAAGACGTGTGAGGGAGTGCGCGTGAAGAGCCCTAAGCAGCCTGAGCTGCAGACTGTGCATGACTTCATGTCCACGGGGCCCCTAGCAGAGTCAGAGGCACAGAGACAGCAGGTATATGGGGAGCCAGGGACTAGAGGACAAGGAGGAGTCAGGAAGGGGGGAGGGCGGGCATGCTACCGTGGGAACGGACTTGCTGCCACTGAACTGGACTCTGAGCAATGGTTAAATGGTATGTTTTCTGTTATGTGTATTTTACCACAATTAAAAAAGAAACCACTTTGAGAGGAATAGGGAATTAAGGATGGGTTCAAGGTATAGTTTTACTGAGGTGGGAGAGGCTATGAAACAATTAAGTCTTGATGTTTATCTACATGTGTTCTTGTAATTACTGAAAACTTAAGAATAATTCCTAACAAGAGAAATATGAGATATGTATCTTCTAAATTATTAGAACAAAAAAAAAAAAAAAAGAGGGGGGGACAATATTTAATCCCACAGGCAAGAAAATACTACCAATAAACCCTCCAAAAAAAGAATAATTTAAAAAAAAATTCATGCATTTGAAAAAAAATTTATGTAGTTTAAACTAGGAGAGAAGAAATCAAAGTTGAAATTACAGTCCATGGAAATCACTGACAATGAAAGCCCTGCAAATCAATTGCAGAAGATGTATCCAACACATAGATGAACATGTACTGACTTCAATGCGTTTGAGAGAACAAAACAGAGGAAAAGACTGAAACGTGTGTGTTCCACACAAGCCAAAGAAACAAAACAACATGAGAAACCAATAAAGCAGGAAGAAAGTAAAGTAAAAGCAGAAATTAATGGGAAGATGAAGCAAATGTGTTCAATAAATCCCCAAACACTGGTTCTCCAGATTCCCTCCTGGGCGGACCCAGGGAAGAAAAGGCCCTGCCAACAAAGTGGGCATGAGGCAGGACACATACGGGCAGAGGTTTCCTTTAACCCACAGAGGGAAGGATCTGTGCAATGTAGACTTTCACCTGCACAGAAACGCTGCGAGCCAGGGGTTCATGGGCTATTCTGCTGAGCCTGCCCAACATGTTTGAAAAGCTGAGTCAACATTAGATAGCTCTTGAGATGGAACCAAACAGCCCAGACTCTGGCTTCTGTGGACATCTCCATGGCTCGGAGGCCCCTGTCCTTTGCTACCCTCCTGGCCGAGGGCATGGCATTCCTTCTGGCACAGAAGATGCTCTCTCAGCAAAGTGGGCCAGGAAGGCAGGCCAGGGAGCACAACAGCTCTCCCACAGCCACCACTCCCCTGACTTTCATCACTCCCCTCTGAGCACAAACTCATCATCCCTTGTCTCCACAATGTGGACAATCTTCTAGGCAAACATCAATTGTGGAACTCACTCAAGAGGGAGGAAACCCAAAACAGATGACAAAGTTTAACATGAACTGAAAAGGTGGTACAAGACCCATAGTCCTCATTCCTCCTCCTTGCAAAGAAAGATCATGCCCTAGGTTTTAGGGTGGATTCTATCGATCCCTTTATGGAAAAGAAAACTTAAAGTATTCCTGAAAATTAAAGCAAACATGGAAAGTTTCTAAATGCATTCTATGAGACTAGCATAACCTTCATACAAAACAGACAAGGCCTCAAAGACACTCAATGATGCCTCAGAATACAAACCCCCAAATCCTAAATAAACTATTAGCAACTTAAATCTAATAATGAATTAATAGAATATATATCATAATCTAGTAGGCTTTAATCCCAGGAATGCAAGCATGTCTCAAAATTAGGAAACCTAATGTCTTACTTGATAGAGAAAAACACACAGAAGAAAACCATATAATCGAATTCAGTATCTATTCCTGTTTTTTACAAAAATTGTAACTTAAGTAAGCAAGAAGAAAGGAACTTCCTTAATTTGCTAAAAACTCCCCAATACTCACGGGAGGCATGTGACTTCACAGGAAGCATGCACACTCGTCCCCGTGAAGCCAGAGCAGCAGACAGAGCCGCCCGCTACACCCTCGTGAAAAGCCAAGGGCTCTAACTGAAACCAAACCAACAGTGCAAACGCCAGAAGCTAAGACAAAGCTACTCGTAGGAGACGTGGACTCAGGGTGCTGGGTGGAATGCCAACAGCTGGACGGCTCCGACCCCAGAAGCCCCAGGGGTAAACTTGACGGGAAGGGAATAAATTGTGAAACCATCAGACAGAACAGAACACACAACCAAAACACAGAAACGTGCACCATCTTCCTGGATGGAAGACTCAGTGCTGAGGCCAGCTCTCCCTTTACGTCATGTATGTCCACAGCTTTCAGGAAAAACATTTTCCTCTTACAAGCAGCAATTACAGTCGCACGTTTAAAAAATGATTTTGGTGGCCCTATAGCTCAGGGGTTAGAGCACTGGTCTTGTAAAAAATGATTCTGGGGTGGGGATGCTGCGCCTGGGAGGCTCCATCAGCTGAGCATCCAACCCTTGATCTCAGCTCAGCTCTTGCTCTTGGGCTCTTGAGTTCAAGCCCTGAGCTGGGCTCCATGCTGGGCATGATGCCTACTTAAAATAAAATCTTAAAATAAAAAAAGATTTTCAATGAGCTATATATTAGGAAAGGTAGTCATTTCTTTTAGTACAGAACTCAGTCCAGAGCTGTTTGATAGTTAACAACATCAACAGAAACCTTCTCTTTGACCCCCTCCCCACATCCTCTGGAATTAATTCTTCCAAACATTTGGGTTCCTGCAGGCTTATACATGTGTCAAACAACAAATAAAGGACACATTTATGAGAGAAAGAGCGGAAGAGAGAGCAAGAGCTGGGGGAGGGGCAGAGGCTGACTCCCCAGGGAGCAGGGAGTCTAATCATGGGTAGGGATCCCAGGACCCCGGGACCATGACCCATGAAAGCAGACAAGTGACTAAGCCACCAAGACACCTCGAGGATACATTTTATTTTTTATCATTATTTTTTAAAGATTTAATTTATTCATTTGTCTCAGTGAGACAGCGCAGAAGCAGGAAAAGCTGCAGGTAGAGGGAGAAGTGGACAAGACACTGAGCAGGGAGCCCAATGCAGGACCCGATCCCAGGACCCTGGGACCATGACCTCAGTTGAAGGCAGCTGCTTAACTGACTGAGCCACTCAGGCGCCCCTCCAAGGACACATTTTACAAAGATTTTTTTTTTAATCTTATTTATTTATTTGACAGAGAGAGAGAGAGATCACAAGTAGGCAGAGAGGCAGGCAGAGAGATAGGGGGAAGTAGCCTCCCCGCCGAGCAGAGAGCCTGATTCGGGGCTTGATCCCAGGACTCTGAGATCATGACCTGAGCCGAAGGCAGAGGCTTAACCCACTGAGCCACCCAGGAGCCCCCTTTTTTTGTAAAGATTTTTTATTTTATTTTATTTTATTTTATTTATCAAGGACATATTTTAAAAAGCAAGCAAAAACAAGTGATTTCAAAACTGTCATCCAGGTCCCACATCCATACTTATTTATGAATACTAAATCATTTACAGACGTTTTGAAACCTTGGAATTACTAATAATTTCTAAGCTACTACTTGATTAGAAGCCACTGATGTCCATTCCAAGGATTTCAGAATGACTGGTGCCCTCTGGATGCTACTAAAATTGCTCCTTAATTTGTATTAATGGCATCACGGTTTCTTGATAGATGAGTCAAAATAATACACTTTCTGCTTGCTTTAGTAAGGAGGACAGTTTGTTTGTTTGTTTTCTTTGTGGGAGAAAGAAACGATAAACAAGACCCATTTTTTTGTTTTTCTTGTTGTAATAAAATACACATAGCATAAAATTGATCATCTTAACCTTTTTTTTTTTTTTAAGATTTTATTTATTTATTTCACAGACAGAGATCAGAAGTCAGACAGAGATCACAAGTAGGCAGAGAGGCAAGCAGAGAGAGAGGGGGGAAGCAGGCTCCCCGATGAGCAGAGAGCCCGCTGCGGGGCTCGAACCCAGGACTCTGGGATCCTGACCTGAGCCGAAGGCAGAGGCTCTAACCCACTGAGCCACCCAGGCGCCCCATCTCAACCATTTTTTAAAAAGATTTTAGGGGCGCCTGGGTGGCTCAGTGGGTTAAGCCTCTGCCTTCGGCTCAGGTCATGATCCCTGGGTCCGGAGACTGAGCCCCACATTGGGCTCTCTGCTCAGCAGGGAGCCTGCTTCCCCCTCTCTCTCTGCCTGCCTCTCTGCCTACTTGTGATCTCTGTCAAATAAATTAATAAAATCTTAAAAAAATAATAAAAAATAAAATAAAAATTCTTATTCATTCGAGAGAGAGAGAGAGAGAGAGAGAGAGAGAACAAGCTTGGGGGTAGAGAGGCAGAGGGAGAGGGAGAAGCCGACTCTCTGCTGAGCAGGGAGCCTAACATGGTACTTGATCCCAGGAATCTGTGATCATGACCTGAGCTGAAGGCAGATGCTTAACCAATTGAGCCACACAGATGCCCCACCATCTTAACCATTTTTAAGTGTACAGTTCAGTGGTATTACATACGTTCACATCCTCGTGCAAACATCCCCACCATCCCTCCCCAGAACTTTCTCATCTTTCCCAACTGAAACTCTGTCCCCACGAAAAAACCCGTTCTTCCCTCCCCTAGTCTCTGGTCCCCATGAGCTACACTTTCTGTCCCTAGGAGTCTGACTACTGTAGGTACCTCATATAAGTGGAGTTCTACAACAGATGTCCTTTTGTATCTGGTTTAGTTCACTTAGAATAATGCCTTTAAGGTTCTTTCATATTTTTAGGTCTTCCATTTAGGTCCTTTTCCATCCTGAGTTAATTTCTGCATGTGGTGTGAGGTAAGGCTCCAATGTCCATCTTTGGCATGGGATGTGCAGTTTCCCAGCACTGTCTGTTGCAAAGACTGGCCTTTCCCATTTGAGTGGTCTTGGGACCCTTACTGGACATTACGTGACCACACAGGTGAGAGTCTATCTTACGTCAACACCACACTGTTTTGGTTACTGTAGCTATGTAGTCCGTTTCAAAATCAGAAAGTGTGAGTCCTCCAGATTTATTGTTCTTTTCTAAGATTGTTCTGGCTATTCTGGGTCCTCTGAGATTGCATATGAATTTTAAGATGGGTTTTTTTCTGTTTCTACAAAAATGACTCTAGGATTTTGACAGGTATTGCTGAGTCTGTAGACCACTTTAGCTAACACGGACATTTTAATATCAGTAAGTCTTCCAATGAACGTGGGATGTGGTTCCTTTTATGTCTTTCTTTTTTAAAATTTTTTAAAAGATTTATTTATTTCGGGGGGGGAGGCAGATGGACATTTAATAGTTTTCATTGTGCAAGTCTTCTACCTCCTTGAGTAAATCACCTTGTAAGTATTTTACCTTTTTTTTTTTAAGATTTTATTTATTTATTTGTCAGAGAGAGTGAGCACAGACAGAGTGGCAGGCAGAGGCGGAGAGAGAAGCAGGCTCCCCGCCAAGCAAGGAGCCCAATGAGAGACTGCATCCCAGGACACCAGGATCACGACCTGAGCCGAAGGCAGCTGCCCAACCAACTGAGCCACCCAGGCATCCCAGTATTTTACTCCTGATACTGTTGTAAATGGGATTGTTTTTGTAACTTCCTTTGCAGATTTTTTGTTAACATACAGAGATACCATTTTTTGTGCATTATTTTGTTCCTGATGCTCTGAATTCATTTATTCTAACAGCATTCACTTCTTTTTTTTTTTTTTTTTTTTTACAGTCTTTAGGATTTTCTACACATAAGGTCGTATCACCTGCAGAAATAATTTTACTTCTTCTGTCCCAATTTGGAGGTCTTTGATTTTTCTTGCCTAATTGCTCTGACCAAAAATTCCAGCACCATGCGGAATGGAAGTGGTGAAAGCAGCAACCTTGCCTTGTTCCTCATAGAGAAAATGCTTCCAGTCTTTCACTGCTGGGTGTGATGCTTCCTCTGGGTTTTCATCGATGGCTCTTCTCATGTGGAGGCAGGTCCCGTCTGTTCCTAGTTTGTTGAGTGTTTTTATCATGAAAGCTAAATACTGTCAAATGATTTTAGGGGATCAATTAAGATGATCCTGTGTTTTTTACTCCCTCCATTGTGTTGATGTGGCATATTACATTGATCAGTTTTCATGTATAGACCCATACCCGCATGCCAGGAATAAATTCCAGTTGGTCATGGTGTACATAGTCCTTTTAATATGCTGCTGAATTCTGTTCGCTAGTATTCTGTTGCGGATTTTTTCATCAGTCTTTACCATAGATGTTGGTCTATAATTTTCTTTTCTTACATTGTCTCTATTATCAGGGTAAGGCTGGCCTCACAGAATGAGTTGGGAAGCTTCTCTCCCCTTCAATTTTTGGGAAAAGTTGGGGAAGGGCTGGTGTTAATTCTTCTTTAAAGGTTTGATAGAATTCACCTGTGAAGCCGTCTGGTCCTGGGCTATGCTCTGTTGGGAGTTTTTGTTTTAAGATTTTATTTATTTGAGGGGGAGGGAGAGAGAACACAAGAAAGGGGAGCAGGAGGCAGAGGAAGAGGGAGAAGCACGCTACCTGCTGAGCAGAGAGCCTGATATGGGGCTCGATCCCAGGACCCGAACTAAAGTCAGATGCTTAACCAACTGAGCCACCCAGGCACCCCTGTTGGGGATTTTTGATTACTGGTTCAGTTTCCTTACCAGTCGCAGGTCTAGTCAGATTTTCTGCGTCTCTGTGATGCAGTCTTGGTAGGTTCTGTGTTTCCAGGAATTTGTCCACTTATCTAAGTTATCCTATTTGTTGCTGTACAACGGTTCACACCACTCTCTGACAATCCCTTTTATTTCTGTAGAATCAGTGATAATATTCCCAATTCATTTCTGACTTTAGTAATCAGAGTCTCTCCTTTTTTCTTAGCCCACATAGCTAAAGTTTTGTCAGCTTTCATGATCTTAAAGAACCAACTTTTGGTTTCACTGATTTTCCTCTATTCCCCAGTTTGTTGATCTGCTCTAATCTTTATTACTTCTTTCCTGCTGCTAGCTTTGGGTTTAGTTTGTCTTTTTTCCCTACATCCTTAAGCTACCAAGTTAGGTTACTGATCTAAGACCTTTCCTGCTTTTTTATTGTAAGCATTTAGAGCTGTAAAAGTACATACATGTACTTTTAACGAAATAAATTTAATTTCAGCCTTACTTTTAAAAATAAGACTGGGGGTGCCTGGGTGGCTCAGAGGGTTAAGCTTCTGCCTTCAGCTCAGGTCATGATCTCAGGGTCCTGGGATCAAGCACTGCATCGTGCTCTCTGCTCAGCGGTAAGCCTGCTTCCCCGTCTCATCTGCCTGCCTCTCTGCCTACTTGTGATCTCTCTCTCTCTCTGTTAGAGAAATAAAATCTTTAAAAATAAATAAATAAATAAATAATAAAAATAAGACTGTATTTTCCTTTCTAGAGAAAACAAGTATACTGTTACTTTTTCTTAAATTTATTTTTTATTTTTAATTAATGTATATTTTTATCCCCAGGGGTACAGGTCTGTGAATTGCCAGGTTTACACACTTCACAGCACTCACCCCAGCACATACCCTCCCCAATGTCCATAACCCCACCCCTCTCTCCCAACCCCCCTCCCCCCAGCAACCCTCAGTTTGTTTTGTGAGACTACGAGTCATACCCCATTTTCATCAGAATAGCACTGATAACACTGTGTATTATATTCCTAAATAGACATTTAATTTCAGGTACAAATACATCAAGAAATTATTATTCCCAAAGGTTTTCTCAATCTTGGCAAAGTCTCAGTCTTTCCTTTCTTCTCTAAGAGTTGTCATGGGGCATTTATGGGTTTAGTCCCAGTTCAAAGCTGGAGAAATGAAGAACAGATTTCTGAAACTGTAACTGCATTTGTATCCTTCCTACCTACAAAGTGAAATGAGAAAGAGCCCATGGGGTCTGCAGCAGGCAGGATGCAGACAGCCCTCCCTGGTCCTACCCCAGAGTCCCAAAACTGTAACACAGAGGGCGCCAGTGTGATGCCATCAATTAAATGTCCACCTCTTGGCATCGGCTCAAGTCATGATCTCAGAGTCCTCGGATCGAGCCCCATGTGAGGCTCCGCACTCAATGCAGAGTCTGCTTGAGATTCTCTCTCCCTCTGTGCCCATCCCTGTGCTCTCTTCTAAAATAAACAAAGAAATCTTAAAAGAAAAAAAGTATAGTACAGAGCTCTGTCAGTGCTCCCTTGTTACTCCCTAGATCCTATTACCTTGCACAGGGCTGTTCTAAATGCCTCCACCACAACCCCACCCTCCCATGGTTTCAGAAAGGCAAGCAGGCAGGCTTCGAGGCCCTCTGGGAGTCCTGCTGTGTCCCCAAGAGGCTCCGGCTGCCTTCAGGCCCCACCTTCAAGAAGAGCACCCTGCCTTCTTGGGTCTCCCTTCATCCCTGTCAGCCACCTGCCAAGCACAACCAACTATGCTCTGTCTGCATAGTCAGAGTCAGAGAAGGGGCTCTGAGTAGCAGAGCGTTATGTGAACGGCTCTGGAAATTACATGGCTCAGCAGCTCCCCAAGGCCCCAGAGGCTCTTGTAGGTGGCAGCTGCGCCAGGTGGCAGCCTATGCAGGTGACACTGGGTGTGGCCAGTCAGTGCTGACCCAACGAACAGTTGCCGCCACCCCCAGGCGTAGCAGGGTGAAGGCCACCATGGTTCCCTCTGGAAAGTCAGTGGCGACTCCTTCCACCTGTACCTCCCCTGTCACCCTGGCACACGTGCTTTACCCATGGCAGGTCCTGGCAGCACACACTCACCTGCTCGTCGACGTAAGCATCAATCCTCTGCTGGCATTCCAGCCACTCCTCGGCCACCCTGCGCAACTCCTCCTCGGAGCGCTGGTACCGCTGCAGTAAGGTGCTGTATGTGTCCTCGTTGCACGTGTCATGTGTCGTGGTTCCCAGCCTAGGGAGAGAGGCATTTCAGCAAAAGAAAGGAGCCCAAAGGCTCTGGGCCAGAGACCAGAGGTCTGCTTCTCTCTGTCACCTCCTCTCCCAATGTGACAAGTGGGACACCACCACACACCACACAAGCCTGCTGTCAGGGATTAGCAAATACATACGCAAGGCGCCCCAGGCCAGAAACCGGCATAAAGAAGCTCCAAGAAGAGGTCCAAAGGGAAAAAGTCAGTGGTGAAGAAGACTGTTCTACAAGACTAAGGCCTTGGGGCACCTGGGTGGCTCAGCCAGTTAAGTGTCTGATTCTTGGTTTCAACTCAGGTCATGATCTTGGGGTCATGAGATCACACCCCACACTGGGCTCTACGCTCAGCTGGGAGTCTGCTAGAGATGCTCTCTCTCCCTCTGCCCCTCCCCCAACTCCCTCTCTATGGAAATAAATAAATAAATAAATAAATAAATAAATAAATAGGCCCTAGCAGTTCAGTTTATTAAACGTGGAGTTGTAACCTATTTTTCCCCACTGAAATACACTGACCCAGAGAAAACACAACATTTAATGGGAAATACAAGACTCGGACTTGGTTTTCCAATTAAGTAAAACAGAAGATTTGATCCAATCAAAGAAACATGTTTTATAGTTTTACTTATTCTATATTACTTTAAAAAGCTGGTAAGACAGCAAATGAGAAAATGAACTGAAAACAAGACATACAAACAGTAAACAATGAGGAAAACACCTAGACTTCCAGGAAAGAGAATATGGGGCAGGAGGCAGCCTGGGAAGAGCAGGGAAGCCAAGCAGGGTGGCAGGGACAAGGGGGTGAACAGATTACATGCCATTAGAAACTGCTCATTTTTTAAATACCTAAATACCAAAGCAACTGTAATAAAGGATCCTGATAAGAAGTTTCAAAATCGAGACAACATTTATAGTCGCTCAAGGGAAACAAGGCTACATGCGCAAAGATCATCGGAGTTGACAGGAAAACATTGGGAGCTACGCAGTGGGTACCAATAAGATACTTTCCGGCACATCTAAACGAAGGAATTCCAGAGAACCGGTGCCTCTTATGAAGCTTATTACATCTCTTCATTCATATACACTTTACTTGCACGTGTGCTTTGAAATAAACAATGCCCATGTTAAGTAAAGATGATGGCAACACATTTAGAGATGTGTGTAGGGGTGGACATAAAAAAAAAATCTAGAAGCAGTATCGAATTGTATATAGCATCTATTTATCTTCATGATTTTCTGTATTTTCAGAGTTTCATTGCATCACAATCTAATAATTTTATAATAAATACAAATGATACAGTAATTTTAAATTTAGGACCCTTTCAATGGGCACAAACAGCTCCCTCTCCTTTCCCATCTCCGCCTGTGGGTAGATCCCACTTGTGACTATTTTGTAAAAGGGAGAACCTGCAAATGAACTCACTGCCGCTGACGTTATCTGCACACACAGTGTCCAACTGTGAAGTTTACGCCAAGGAGGGAGCAGGCAGCAGCAGCCAGGCCTAACCAAACCGGTGTTTAGGGGAGGCCAGAGACAATAAAGGAATTGACACTGATCCACAGTGACTGAGGCTCCCTCAAACACCAAGGCTGTCCTTCTAAGGCTGTTTCTGCCCCCGAGGACAAAAAACTCCCCCAAACGCGGCATCTAGCGATTAGGAGGCTGCACAGGGCTCTGCACAGCCACCGGGCAGCCCTTGGACCTGAGAACACAGCCTGCTCTCTTGCTGGGCAGCAACCCACGGAGCAGCTGCTTTCTCCCCATTCCTGCTTCCACTACCTTGCTCATTACAGACGGATTTTCCTGCTTCACGCAAAGCCCGCCTTCTACAGAATGCCACCCTGTCCCTCGCATACCACTTGGAACACGGGAATGTTAAGGGGACCGGCATCTGCCCGGCACACACTCCTCTTCCCTCCTATTAGAAGTGAGAACTGCTCTCCTCTACCGTGATACAGGTTCCATTTTGAGCCAATGGAGAGCAAAGCAGCCAGGGGTCCTGGGACATCTTTGATGGGGTGATCAGAGCACAATGTGTAGGCACAGGGCTTACATTCAAGCCGAGCTGGGCTGGAATCCAGAGAGAAAACAAGGAATGTCCTCATGGTCGCACGACACGAGTGGTTCAGCAAACAGGTTACTGTCTAAATATTCACTCTGTAAACACAGGCTAGCGCCATGGACAGATCCTCATGGTAACGTCTACCACAAATAGTGTGCACGTACAACACAAGGAGAATGAGAAAAAGTCAGTTTTGCAAGTTTATGCACAAGCCTAATTCAACATCTCCCTAACAATATCATATATTTAAAATAAAAACCAACGGGGCAATCGCTAATAACACCCACAACAACAAGCAAGCAGACAGTGAGGCTCCTGGTCTTGCCACGGGCACAGACACTAGTCTGATGAAGTTTCTGGACCCCACCACCACTTCTCAGGCCCCACAGACAGAAAGCCTATGCAGTGCTCCCTGAGCACACACGCCAAGGGGCCTGGACCCTGGGCCTCGCTGCAGGGCTGACAGTTCAAGTTCCCAGAGAGATAAATTGTAAGGGAAAAAGGGGTGGGGTGGGGGCCTGCAGGTTAAAGAATTACAAGACACGTGGGGAAAAGAAAGGGTGGGAGTCACTGCTTCACAGTGACAGTCTCTGGGGTGATGAGGAAAGGTCTGGAAACAGACACTGGTGATAGCTGCTCAACACTGTGAATGTAATTAATCCCACTGAATTGTACAGTTAAATGTAGTTAAAATGGCAAGTTTGTTATATATATTTTATCACGATTTTCAAAAATTAGTAATGTAATATACCAACAACCATCGCTTTGTAGACTTTAAATGAGTGAACTGTAACAGTATGTAAACTGTATCTCAGCAAAGGTGTTTAAAAAAGGAGAAATAAGTTCCCTAAACTAAGTCAGTTTCTTTACGTGAGGTCCACCTCATGTAGATTATTTGTATTAAAAAAAAAACAAAACACAAAAGATACGTCAAAAGAAAAAGCAGGCAAGCCTTGGAATGGCACACTTGAGTAACAGGAGAATAAACAAGGAAGGAGTGGGACTGCCGTTGCAGGCGGTGCCGTGGTGGGAGGTCCCGTGGCCACTCTGGCAGAGGAGTCTGTGCTTGGAGGCTGCACGCAGGAGGAACTGACTTCCTGGGGCCACGGTCAAGCTCGCAGCTGCACATCTGCTCAGTGTCATCTTTTCTATCTATATTTTACCTTAATAAAGTCAAACAAGCACAGGGCCAGAGACCAGGAGTCAATATGAAAATACTCCCAACTAGAGAGTCTATGTGCCACAGATGCAATCCTTACTTTAGAGGCTGGTACTGGTATATAACTTCTCCCAAACCTTCTACAAGTTGTTCTGTGGGATCTGCACACTAGAAGCTCAGACCTGAATTACCGCTGGGTCTGACAAGGGAATCTGCCAGGGAACCTAAGGGAACTGTCCCTTCTGGCATCACCAGCTGCCGCTGGGAATGCTCTGCTTGCCTCCTCCCCAGCTCTGTCCCTGTCTCTATGTCCCTCGCTCCCTGACCTGTCCCCAAGAACCCTCCTTCAGCCTGACCCCAGAATTAACATTCAAGATCTAAACGCTGCCAATCTTCTGGAGTCTGACCATCATTTGCACTGAGTGATTAAGAAACCCAGAACTAGAGGCACCTGGGCGGCTCAGTTGGTTGAGTGTTGGACTCCTGATTTCAGCTCGGGTCAGGATCTCAGGGGTGTAAGATCAAGCCCTGTGTCAGGCTCCACACTCAGTGCAGAGAGCTGAGGACTCTCTCCCTCTGCCCCTCCCCCTCGTGCTCTCTCTCAAATAATCTAGAAAGCGAGGGAGAGAGAATGAAAGAAAGAAATCAATCTGGAACCAAGGCACAGCCAAGAATGGAGTTTCAGGATACATTTCAGCTCCCTGTCACTCACCCCAAGTTGATGACAGGCCCATCAAACTAACTGGCTCACCAGCAAAAGAAAATACAAGGCCCTAGAATCTTGCTGTAAGAACCCCCACCTTCCCAAGATGCACGTTTTTGGTTGGTTGTCCCCTCCCCCCAGCCCCATAAAAAGTGCCTTTGGTGGATGTAACTGCCCATGGACAAAACCATGTTCTGCATTTCAAACTCATGACCTGGAATACTTTCCTGACCCTTTCTTTGGTGGAGGTGAAAGCTGGGACACTCAAGTCTCCATGCCCCACCACGGAACATGCCAGATGCTTTCAGACTAGACATAGAGGAAAGGGTGGGCAGGGAATGGGCTGTGGGGAAGGGGTGCCGGGAGGGTCCGGGGCCAGACAGAGCACTGGCCACAGCCACACAACACTGTGTTCTGGTCTTTCTGCCCCCATCACCTGTATCCAACCACTTTCAGGGCTACTGCTTCTCCAGAGGGGAGGGTGTGAAGTGGGAAGAGTCATGATCCCTCAGATAAGATTCAGGAAGACTAGGTTGATACAGGGGTTTCAAAAGAAAACAAAGTGACTAGTCTAGAAGTAAACTACAATAATAATTTATTTACTTAGAAATAATTTCCCTTCTTTGTGAATCTGGTCCAAACAAACATCAGCACAGACACTTAAACAAAGATGAGCATGGTGTGTGCTGTTAGGAAGCATCTCTGGCATAGGACCCTGACTCTATGTGGTAAGTCCATGGGAACAGAAGCACCAATGTGGCAGAACTGTGGAAGCGGGCGCCTGACTCAGCAGCGACCACAGATCCAAGGAGCCTCATCCCAGTGGACTCACGCGGGGCCAAAGCCCTCCCACCGCATGGCCTCCAGCTGCCAGCAGGGCAGACGCTGAGTACCGTGCTTGGGACCACTTGTCCTGGCGCACGTGCGGAAGCCCTGGGATACTCCGCGCCACCGAGACGCGGCCACACCACGAACAAAGGCACAGAAGGAATGCTAGAGACACACACATCCCTGGCCTTCGTGCCCAGGAGCCCTGTGGCACCGTCAGGCCCCTTCTAGAGCCGTCCCCCTCCTCTGACACCCCCTCCCCGTCTCCCCTGCACACCCAAATGCCACAGCCGTCTGGCCAAGCCTGAGTCTCTTCAAAGTAAAACTCTACGTTTACCATGGCTTTTCCTTATTCACAAGGAATTTGGGATGTTAAATCTCAGCGGCATTACTACTGAGTCTATTATTTTTAAAGTTTAATTTAATACTCCTGGGATTTTGAGTTTCTGCCCAAGTGGTACCGTTCCCTGAGCAATAACGTCCACACCGCGATGGTGTTCCAACACACACCCACTACAACACAGGGAGAAGGACCGTGCTGTCACACCACAGAGACATATGCAGACAAAGACCAGATACCTGATCTGTGACACCAGTGCTGGCAAGTTGCTCTGAAGAAGTGGCTCCGAAAAGACCAGATTTTCAAACAGATGCTTATTATGCAGTTCCCATGTCACCTGGAACTTTTTCAAGTGTTCATTTTCCTAGTTAAAAAGATAAATAAATAAATGGAAGATATACTGAATTGATGAAGACTAAAACTCCCCAGAAGGATCCGCCCCCTCCAGCCCTCTTTGCAGGCCCAGAACATCCCGCAGCACATGGAGAACCCTGAGGCACACCTCTGGCCACATGCACACACGACCCCAGTCTCCTCCCTTCTAAGTCCCTCACACAGAGAAAGGGGGTAAGACACACACAAATACGCGACAGAGAGAGAGAAACAAATGCACGTATTTGACGGTCATTCCTTACACTGTGCTTCCAAAATGCAATGAAAGCCCTACTCTTCAAACAATTTAAATGCACACAAATCCTCTGATGTCAAAGGGCAATCATTTTCTCGCCTATCTTGAGAAATCTGCCATTCTGGTGGCCGCAAATAACTTCTCCACTAGTGCTAAGCCGTGGAAGGTCAGGTGTTTCCTCTCCCTAATACACAAAGGCAAACTCAGCAGTTACTTTAAATAGCTTTTAAACATTTGGGAGCGTCCTGGCCATCAGAGTGAGTGATACCAAAGAAACATCCATCTGCCCTCAATACAAGGTGACTAGGACAGAGAGGGTGCCTTTCTTGAGCATAGATCTCGCTACAAGCATATGCATGTGGGACTCCAAGTGTCCATCCGTAAGCTACGCGATGCTGTAGGGCTCCGTGTGTTTCAGTCATTGCACATCCTTCATACATGTTTCTTCCCTAATCCACTGACAACTGGAGGAACTGCTTAACATGATGTAGCAATACTCCATGAAATGGGTTACTCATGGTGACGCCTTCTACAACTTAGCCCCAGTGAATTCACATGATCATACCTGCAGGTGTTAGTAAACAGTCTACACACGAAGACCCCACTGTTTGCCCAGTAACTGGCTGGCATGGGGGCTTAGAGAACGAGGCAAAGCAAGCATTTCCTGTTCCTGGGCACAGCCAGCGAGACAGAGCTCAGGGCACACTGGCGGCACCACTCCAGCACAAACGGATGCCAGCTCTGCCACCTGCCAACCCCTGCTCACGGCCTGCAGACAGATGGGGCCCTGCAAGGAACCCGGACACCTGCACAGACCCTCAAACCCTCCGTTCTGCCTGTGTTTCCAGAGCTTGCTCCCACTGCCCCAGGTGTGCACTTCCGCACCCTGCAGTGCCACTACTCCGTACGGGACAGCCGGCCGGGGAGCTGATAAACTCCGCCCGATCTCTGGAATGAGAACCTTGCCAAAGAAGGTACCAAGGACGTGGCCACAGATGACATGTCGACCACACTACATGTCACAGACGTCAGCAGAGACCACTCTGTGCAGGCACTGGACCAGGTACAGGGACACAAAGATGAAGCCAGCAGGCCCCTGCTCTCTAGGAGTCACCAGGGGACAGAGAAGTAGGCAGTGATCCGATTTACGGTTTGTCTCTACAACAACAAACATGCAGGAGCTAAGGCAGCAGCCAGACCAGGCCCCTGGCCAGCTGAGGGAGGTTCTGGGGAGGGCACTCAGGGGAGCTGAGTGCTTGCTGGGCTTCCCCCATAAACCTCCACAGCTGCATGTGTGGTCCTTGCCTGCCTGCCTGCCTACTTGCGGGGGTAGGACACAGCTCTGGCTTTTGGGGGTCATGTTACTACAGGTACCTGGGTGAAGGCTGACTTACGAAGATGTTTGGCATTTTTCATGAAATCTGTAATCATACATCCAAATGAGGCAAGCAAAAGAAACAGCAGAACCCAAACTCATTTCCCAGCCTATAGTCAACTTGGGAAAAGAACGTGTGCTAACAACAGTGTTTCCTGCAGGCCACGCATGGTTCTCAGTGCTCACGAGGGTCATCTCAGTAGCGCCCTCGACAACCCTGGACTGGGTGCTGCCAGGCCCCATTCACAGGCCAAAGACAGCCTACAGAGGCTGAGCGATGGGCCTGGGGCCGGGGGGAAGGAGTCTGTGGGCTGCCGGGGAGCGGGGGGGGGGGGGGCCTGTGCAGGAGCGCAGCCAAGACTCAGCACCACCTGAGCTAGAGGCACAGAGAACAAGCTCACCAGTGACTCAAGCTCAGGCTTTGCCACCCAAACTAGTTTTCCTTCTTACACTCAACTGCAAAAAGGTTTTTGGGGGTCTGGAAGGAGAACGAGGAGGTGTTCAGAATCAAGCTGTGTAACAGACCTCGAGAACTACCAGGCTGTTCTTAAGGATGGAAATTCAGATTTCATGATTACTACAGCCCTGGCATAGCATTTCCCAGACGGTGGCAAGCACAACCTATGTGCAGGCTCCTTCTATTTTAATATTTAAAATAAAATTTTAAAACATGAAGCTATCATCTTGTTTGATCCCCAGGGCAGTGTAGAATATACCCACAAGTGCATTTCCCACGAAAATAATGTTTTTAAAAATACCCTCCTATGTCTAAATGTCCTCCCTGGGTTCTGCAGAATCAGAAAAACAGGGGATGTTGTTTCCAGAGAAGCCGGTTGAGAAGGCAGAGAATTAGCCGGCAGGGTTTGTGCAGCAAACCAATGTGCTGCTTTAAGAAAAACAAGCCAATGTGCTGCTTTAAGAAAAACAATTTGTGGCCAATCATAAAATCTGAGCTTTCAAGCAACAATCTGCATTTTGGAAAACTTGAATCTGTCACTGTGGCCTTGAAGCTTCTCCGTTCTGATGAGGATCAGTGGTGATAGCTACAAAGGTCATTTTTTACACTGAACACCATCAGGAAGATCGGCACTAAATTACTCGGTGAGCCCGTGTATTTCCAATGACCAAAGTATGATGTTGGAAAAACACGTGTGGGCAAACTCATTCTGAGCACCGGCTCCAGCACTGGTTCTGATGTAAGAGACATGCTCGGAGACCCTACACCACACCTAACCATTAAGAAGCCCTCAGGCAGGGCACCTGGGTGGTGCAGTGGGTTAAGCCTCTGCCTTCAGCTCAGGTCATGGTCTCAGGGTCCTGGGATGGAGCCCCACATCGGGCTCTCTGCTCAGCAGGGAGCCTGCTTTCCCCCCTCTCTCTGCCTGCTCTCTGCCTACTAGGGATCTCTCTGTCAAATAAATAAATAAAATCTTAAAAAAAAAAAAAAAAGAAGCCCTCGGACTCAAGTGTACTCCTGACGAATGGCTGGAAAGGCTATTAAGATATTCCACCCTTTGCCAAATATGGATCTGCGTGAGGCAGAATTTTCTTCAATAACTTCAGCCAAAGCAACCTATGACAACAGTGTGAATGCAGAGGCAGCTACGAGAATCAACATGTCCTCTATTGAGCCAAAAACTAAGGAGATCTGCAAAAATGTAAAGGAAGCCCCTCTTCTTACTAAATATGTTTTGGAAAATAATTCTTTTTTGGGGCACCTGGGTGGCTCAGTCGATGAAACATCTGCCTTTGGCTCAGGGCATGATCACAGGATCCTGGGACTGAGCCCCGCATCGGGAGTTTTCACACCCCACCAACAGCACTTGTTGAAACCAAAAACGTAGGTGGCAGCTGGCTTATAATGACAAAATTTCTGGGAGGCTGTACTTCGCCTCAGCCCTCCCCAAGATCACAACAGGCACATGCCCTTGCCATCCCTCCAGGGCCTCTCCTTCACTCTCACACAAGGAGGTAGCCATCTGTGGGCCCAGCACTGTGTGTCAATGCCACCCAGGGTGGGACCGAGGCTGAATCTCCCATCTCCCAGGTTTAGAGTGAATGCTGGCTTTGGGGCACACGAATTTCTCAGGATTCCAGCTTTTAGTTTGTTTTTCACCCCTAAGTCTTCTTGCCTTTCCTGGCACCTCAGCAATGTGCTGTAAAAGCTTTTTATCTAGTTTCAGTTTATGTGATCCAGTAATTCCTTTATTTCCCATGAAGGAAGAAGGATTTCAGGGTGTCACGTCTGCTGTACCACTGGAAACAAAAGTGAGTACCTCTACGTATAATGAAAGTGACATTAATCACTGAGCAAACAACCATATTTTGTTCTTAGTATTTACGAGTTTTTTCCAAACCACAAGAAAAGTATTCCTATGTAAATTGTTAGGAATTTGCTCCAACAAGCAGGGCTGAAATCAATTTCTGTTTGTTTCAAAAACCACACTCCACGCTGACTGCCTGAGGGGGGCCTGGGCGGAAGCGCCACCTGGGGCAGAGCTGTGCTTTGCACTGCTTGGCACAAGGTTCGGGCAGCTGGGAGACGCTCTTCACCTTGGCGGACTCCTCTCCCGGCGGACTCAGGAAGGTCCGAGGGTGCAGTCCTAGAGGAGGTGGCACTGGATGTGAACTTCTGAAGAGCGGGTACTTTCAGTAAGTCGAGGCGGAAGAGGGAGAGCTGCGTGCGATGGGACATTTGGGAGTGAGGCACAGGAGGCCTGCTGGGCCCTGCTCCAGGCACCAGCATGCCATTGCAGATTCTCACGATGCAGAGACAGCCGTCCCTCCTGACTCGGGCTCCTTTCCTCACATCGCGTGCTTTCCTCCAGGCTGTCAAGATTCACGGCACGGCACGGTCTACTGCAGGGATGCCCGGGGAGGCCCATGAAGCCCACCCCCCCTGAATTTACCTGCAAAACTGTATGTCTGTAAATTTTCCTGGCAAGAAGGTCTATCAATTTTAGAATCACAAAGACCATTGCATTTAAAATCTTAGGAACTACTGGTGCTATATTTGTTTCAAAATGTAGTTTTACCAGGAAGAAAGTACCCAAAACTAGTCAAGTATCATTTAATAACTAAATTGAGGTAATGGCAAACAAATCCACAGATCTCGGCAAATCGGTATTTCTCTAACAGTCTGGAAGGCCTGAATGACCGGTTTCTCAGGCAGCACAGCCTCCCTGCACCGGTAGCTGCACCGCTGACAGGGCAGACTGAAGCTTCTGATGCCCAGTCTGGCTGGTTTCTAGGAGCTGAGATTCTACCACATGCCTCCGTCCACCCATGTGTGCTAGGTTACCTCGTGAGGTGGTCAGAGACCCGTAAGACACCCCTGCTTGTCTCCTTCATAAGGGCCACTGGGCAGGGACAGGGGTGGGCATGAGGGTGGGTTCTTATCGGACTCTGGGAACCCATCCCTAACCCAGGGCTGGACTGTGGAATCGACAACTGAAACCCATAGGACTGGAAGCAAGTGCTCTCCACAGGAGTCATGCCCTGCATGTCACACTGACAACAGAGATAACAGCTTAAGACAGAAACCATTTGTCTTTCTTCTTCCTCCTAATGCACACACTGGTCCTCACCTCACATCATCCCCATCTCTCGCTCCCTAGGCCTCAAGGTCTCCAAACTGTATTTCCATGATATGTTACCCAAACAACAATCCACGCGACACCTTTCTCCCACAGCATAGTCCAGAGAGAAGAGAAAGGGGAGAGGAATCAGGTTCTCTCCTTGGTGCCCGAGTGCCACAAAGGAGGGGCTGGTGATGGCACACGAGGGCAACATACAAGCCTCCCCACGATCTCACCCGAGCACAGTGGTCTTCTCAAGTTCTTCCCCACAGAACCAGAGGAAGGCAGCCTTCGCTCTTACCAGCGTGCCCAGGAAGGTGCTGATCGTGCGTGCCGCCTGGCAGAGGGCACCGTACTCCTCGAGGAGGAGAGAGATGAACTGGTGAGCCTGTGGAGGGCCCTGCAGGGCGGACGGCGCCTTCACCTTGGACGCCGCCGACAGCTGCCGGAGCAGTCGGACCTTCATCTCCAGCACATACTCTCTGGCTTGTTGTTCCAGCCGCTGGTACAGCTGGTAGGGGTCCCTTTCGCAGAGCCTGCATGGAGAAGAGAGAGTCACCGCTCACCCATGACCCACCCACACACAGACCTCCACAAAACTGCGATCAGTGAGCTGAGCTGCGATCAGCGCCCACCCGGCCATGGGTACAACCACCATCTTCTCAATATCCCATGAGAGGTGCCTTCACCTCACTCACCACAAAGGAGCCCTGGCACTGACAGCGTCGAGAGCCACAAAGTCATCAGCTAAGAGCCCCAAAATCCCAGCATTTACTCAGAACTTACTCTGCACTAGCACTGTCTCCCACGTACCAACCCAGTTAATCACCAAGTTCATCACTCAGCTGAACAGCGCAGCCCGCCTGGGTGGAAGGCAGGGAGCTCACACAACCAGCAGGTGGCAGAGCGCACATAGTGGCGCCTCCTCTCAGGAGCCCTAAGACACCTCACTGTCCACGCCCACATGCTGGGCAAAAGCAACCACCCAAGCAGAGGTGACACCTGGCTTGTGGGACTCTAGAGCAAACTGTTCTGTCCTTTTTTCCAGGAATTCAGTATATAATGCAAATGGGCTTACATTATTTTTATAATCAGAGGAAACTATAGAAACAATGTCTCTTTTTAAGCTATCCCCCGCCACACACAAACAGAAAAAAAACAATGAAAATGTATAAAATAAAACCCCTAAACTGAAGAGAAGGGAAAAATTAGTAAGTGCCTTTCTACCGAGCCACAGTAGCAGTTAACATTTTTATGAATTTCTTTCCTAATTTGGAGATAACCTACTAAAGCAGCCGCTCCTCCCAAATGCACAATTCTGAGGGGTCTGCAGATGGAAGCCCAGGACGGCTGGGCTGACAACAGTTATCTGTCTGCGAGCTGCCACCAGGAGGGAGCCCTTGAGGCCAGCACTTTATCAGACACAAGTTGTAAACGTATCAAGCCACAGGTCCTGGATTTTACACAACGGATCCTTTTACCTTCTGGGCACCACATTTGGTCAAAAAGAGAAGAATGTAATTCGCCCTCTATTCCAGTTTTAAATTAGCGCACCACCTAAGTTATAAAAACAAGAGGCAAGTAAAACCCGGCAATGGAGCACAGGAAGCCTTGCACAGAATGTGGCTAGAGAAATAATAAAAACTGATGGGATTCCCACTGGGGTCAGCACACTTCAGAAAGACATACTAATTTAGCGTAGCAACCACAATTTTAATTACCAGTACAACTGTCCTACAAAGTAGAATATATGTCATCTGTTAAAGGAATGCCCCAGAAGGCTCAAATGACAGAGGAACAACCAAACTTACAGCAGACTGGACGCCTCTTAGTGAGGTGAATTAAACATCCATTTTACTTTATTTCTTTGTCCATTTCAGTACCTTAGAAATACAACAAAATGGCCATGCGGTCCTCCCACAAGTAGATTTTTTTAAAAGCCGTATGACCAGGAGACTACGCCGAAGTCACTGAGGCAGCTCATCCACATGCACAGCCAACAAACACCAGTGTATGTGTGCTGAAGGTTACTCTACAGTGGCACGGCTGCAGCAGCGAAGAAGCCAAGGAAATAAACTCTGCCCTCACGACGCCGATGGCACATGCATACAGGTGATGGGATTCTGGGTAATGGTAGGAAATAATGAAAAAGGCAGCAAGGGGAAAAAGAGTGATGGCAGAGAGGCGCCTGGGGTCTTACACAGGGTACCCTTTTTGAGAAAGTGACTCTGAAAAGTGATGTGAACACCGGAAAGGAGAAAAAAAAAATCCTGAGAAAGGAAGAACATGGCAGACAGAAAGAAGAGTAAATGCAAAGGCCCTGGGGCAGGAGTGAGTGTGGCCAGCAGAGGAAGGACGGGAACCAGCACAGCTGGGATGTAGTGAAGAACGGTGTGAGGGTAGCACAGAGCAGGAGCATGTAGGACACCAAGGGCCACAGAGAGGAGGAAAGGATTATGACCACCAGCTGTACAGACTCCCAGAAGTAGGATTCACGAACACCCCTCTCCTGATAAGTATCTCCATGTAAACCACAAAAGCAGCCATGCTCTTAGGACACAAGGGCGAGTACAGCAGATCTGATACAGGCACACTTCCAGCTGGGGCTGTGACATATCCACATTCTTAACAGTGTATTTCACTATCAGGGCAATGCCGTTTCCCAAACCTCAACGATTCCCATTACCGGCTTTACACTCTCTGCCATAACCTCTCCAGCCGGTACTAGCACTTGCCAAGTGTCTTCCTCCGGCCGCCTCTCCTTTGACTTCGGCTGCTTCCTAAGCACTGGTAGTCTAGGACGTCATGTGTCTGAATGGCAGGCCCTATGTTTTTCCCTCATACTCACTAGGAAACCTAACTCCTAGAAGCGGCACAACCACCCAGACCCATCTCCTATAGTGCAAGGCGTTGAGCCCTGAACAAACTGGCCACGTTCCTCCACAAGTTCACAGAACCCACAGCCATGCACTGCTCCTCACTCCAGGATAACTTGTGCTGCACAGCGAGTAAGAGCCTGCAGAGCCCCCTTCAAAATGTGGGAAACACAAAGCAAGAGGAGAAACAATCCATGAACTGCCTTGCTCAAACTGATCCCTTTTACCTGGAACATTTCAAAGAAGAGAAAAAAGACCCTACAGACTATAAGGCAGAGTAACAGTCTGTCTGTCACCGGGCACATGGTGTCCGCTGAAGAGCACACGTGGAGTCACAGGCCCTTCACGGGACACCCACTTGGACGGGCCAGCCACAGCGCGCGCTCCACTCCCACATCGGCGTGTTCTCAAACTGCCTGGCCTCAGGAAATGTCTTCTCACCACATTGGGCACCTGCCTGTCCTCCTGGGGCTGATTAAACGCAAGAGGGCTTGAGACTGTGCTCAGTCCCATCCCTCGCACAGTCAGGACTCCGAAAGCAGTGCTGTGGTCAGTCTCAACACTAAGAAAGGACAGAAACGTGTCGATTCATTTGTTTATTATATAGGCAGTGAGCATTTCATCAGAATGAACGTGAATCTCTGCCCAGAGGGCTTGCTTCCGGCAGTCTGTCTGCCGGCCGGCAGGGTACCGGCAGTGAGCAGGTGCAGCCAAGCTTACGGGGTCCAGAGAGCGGAGCCCAGCCCGAGCAGAGGGTAGGCTTCCTGGGTAGCAGGTGAGGGAGGGACACAACACAGGGGCAACGTGTACCTATCCACGAGCTCCTTCACCCCCTCCTTGTCGGGCACGAGGCTCTGGTCTTGGTCGTCGGCCAGCGGGGTCCCCGCCTGGCGGTAAATGCAGCGGACCGTGTAGCGCACTTCTGACCAGTAGTTCTGCAGCTGCTGAGGTTCACGGTCCGTCTCTGCTGAAATCTCTCTGTGAGATGGCACAAGAGCAAGGAGGTCAGGGTTAACGGACAGTCTGGGTCACCCTTGCCCTCCAGATGGCCTAAGGGGATGGGGCATGGACTCCCAACAGCATCCTTTCCTTTACTCTGCTCCTGGAACAGCCTCCCACTTGCTGTGGCCACAGGGAGGCCTGGTGACCAGCCCAGGCTTCAGGTGCCTGCAGCTGTCTGGTTCCCCAAACCCTCCTCCCCAGGAGACCACAGCCCCTCCTCGCACAACAGGAATGAACACACCTGGCGTCCCACGTCGAGAACACTGATGCTCCCCTCCATCTCAAGGGGCCCATCAGGCAGCTCTCTCTCCCCACAAAGCCCCTGCTCCCCACTTGGCTGCACTGGCTTCGGGCCTGAGCCGAGCACAGAGCGGGTTCAGAGCCCCCAGGCCCTGGCCTCTCCTCCTCTATACTGCAGCAACATCCCAGGGAAGGGGCAGCTCTCCCCCTACCCAGGCCAGCCTGAGACTCTAATGACTTGGCTCTGCCTCCCTCCCTCTCTAAGTGCTATCCTGCTCCTGTCAGCCCTCACAGGCAGGGACTCAGAAGAGCCTCATCCTGCTAGTGCTCCCACTGACACCCAGGCTCCTGTCTCAGTCCTTAGGAATCGATCAAGTGCCTGCCGTCTTTATGGGAACGGCCCCTTTCCTGCTCCAGCTGCAGCGCGGGTCGGGCAGGCCCTGCTCCCGACTGTCCCATGGGCCCACACTGGTACCTGCGCTCGCTGCAGGCCTCACAGGCACACGAGGAGTCTGAGGGGGCAGCGCCCAGCCCCGCCGAGGGCAGCGTCTGCGCACCAAGGGCTAGCCTCCCGCCGCCTGCCTCCGGCTGGGACCCGCCAAGAGGGGAGTGAAGAAGAAAGTCTTGGCCCTGCTTTGAAAAGAGAACAGAACAGACTATGTTCAAATGTTCACGGTAGAAATTTGTTATTAACGTGTTAGAAAAATGCCTTTTAGAAACAAATTTAAATTCAGACGCTGACAAGATCTCTAAGGACATCATCTGGGTAACTGACACCTAAGAATTTTGTTTGCAACCAATTATTTACTACCTTTGGAGAGTTCTACCATAATCTCAGGAAGACAGTAAGTTTCTTTCATGCTTTAGGAAAGAGCAGCTCCACTTTCAGCGTCCTCATCAGCGGACGCACTGCCCTGCACCGTCAAGGCTGGTGCTTAGTGCAAAGCCAGCGGCCTGCAAGCCCAGCGGGAAGCCGGGGGGCAGGGGGAGGTGGGGAGCAGAGGCCTCTCGTCCTGGTCCCATGGAACCCCACAGCTGTGCTGCCTGCACTAAGGGACAGGAGGCTGGAGAAAGAGAACATTCTAGGCAAAGATGGCAGGATGAAGTAGGCTCCAACCCTCGTGCCTGGAACCCAAGAGCCCCTAGAAGGTTCTATTAGCAGCCATTACAGGGAACATAACTACAACCCTCTTTCCCCCCACCCCGCTAGGTGGTCCCTCGTCCCTCAGGGACAGGATCTGAGAGGGATTCTATTACATTATGGACACATGCGCTCCAGTCCTAGAGCAGATGATCCCTGCAGTGAAGAAAGGGCTGTGGGGTAAAGGCCCCACAGCCTTCACCCCACCAGCCTAAGGAGAAGGAAGCCACGAAAAAGGGCCTATGAAGGGAGCGCACACACCCGGAGAGAGAAGACAAGCCCTGGGAGGCTGTGGCAGCTGGTGGGTGCTTCCTCAGGGTGGTCAGACACTTGGGGCACCACCAATGGCAAACCGGGCCTGTTGTGTGCCCCTTGGGAGTTTGAGCACACAGACATGGGAGGGAGCAGTAGTGGGCCTGCCTCCATCACATGGTAGGCTGGGTCCCTGCTCCGAGAGCAGGGGCTTGTGTCATCAAAAAACCCACCTGAAAAGGTTCCTGCTAGGTGAGGGGGTCCCAGAATTATACCAGGGGGCAGAGCAAGGGTTGGGGGACTGTGTCACACAGAGTATGTGGCAGACAGTGAGAAGTCTGGACCGAAGTCTAGGAAACCCTAAAGAAGGGCCTCTTATGGGGGTGCCCGGGTGGCTCACTCAGTTAAGTGTCTGCCTTCAGCTCAGGTCATGATCCCAGGGTCCTGGGGAAGCAGGCTTCTCCTCCTCCTTTTGCTGCTCCCCCTGCTTGTGTTCCCTCCCTAGCTCTCTGTCAAATAAATAAATAAAATCTTTTTTAAGGGGGGGGGCTTCTTACAATCAAGAGCCACTCACCAGTGGAACACCTGTTAGAACCCTGGGCCCTGGTCACCAAGGAGAACCACAGACAGCCTATAAAGTATGGAGACTCCCCCCAACCCCTCCTGCCCAGAGCCCCTTCTCCACCCAGGCAGAGCAGGGAAGGCCAAGGAAGCAGGACAGGCACCACTGCCCTCCACCCCCACAATATGCCCTTGCTGACCCCAAGGGGAGATGCTCTGAGGGAGGGAAGACACTCAGGTTTTTTGTAGATTAGACTAGAGTACCCAAAAATGAGATGATTCTAATACCCATGGTGACTAGAAAGGCTTGACAGGTCTGAGCGCAATGCTGGTAGAACCAGACTATCCCCCAAGAGCAGCAGGTCATTGCACTGCACGAAGGAGGTTTCCTCTCCCCTCCATTCCCTTTATCCAACAGCAAGGCTACCCATGGGACTCCATTCCTCAGCAGATGCACAATCTGATTCTCCCTTCCCTGCTCCCAACGGTCCAAGCTACTGTCATCTCTGCCTGCCAGGTGAAGGTGGGGCAGCTCTCCGACAGCACCGCTGCCACCCACACTCACAGCCCTCCCGCAAGCAGCAGCCAGAGTGGTGGTTAAAGTAAGAGAGACCCTGTCATTCCCCTGCACAGAACCTTCCACACCACTCAGAAACAGACTAAATTTCTTACCCATCTTCACGGTTTCCCAGAACATATCTGTGCTTTTCTTTCATTGCAGTTGAGTCTTTGCCTAGAGCGCTAACCCACTAAATGTGTGAATGGCCTGAGGGACAGAATCCTACCAGTCACGCCTTCCTGTGGAGGCGGGTAAACCAGGCATCAGGTTTCCCCTGTCCCTGCTCCAAACCCACCCTTCCCTGCACTGCTGGGGGTCAGAGGGGCCCCAGCGCTGTGTGGGGCCTTGCCAGCAGGGGGCGCAGGAGGGCCACCTTGGAAGCTTCCGCATCCCCAGCACCCAGAGGCTTGAGAGGAACATTGGCTGCGCACCCCTATGACAGCTTGTCAAATCAGCCTGCGGCTTCTCAGCAACTGCTCTGCTACCCAGAGATCCTCTCCCAAGGGTGTCCTGCCTGGAATCGTGTCCCTAAGCCGCCTCTGAGATTGGCTGCTCCCTAGACGCAGCACAGCCGGACTCTTCAGCATTTCCTTCTCAGATCTGTGCAGCTGATCTCCTGTTTCTAGTTAACAGTTGGTTCTCGATGCAAAAGTGACCCGTTCAAATTACTGGTGTGGGTGCCCATCTCCTGAGCTTAATTACCCCGTTAATCTCTTGTATCACAAACTGCTATTTGAAATCCTGGTGTTTCCCTTGTTTTCTCGTTTATTTTTTGTTGTTTTGTTTTTTACCTGTCTTCATCACTAGAAGACCAGACCCCAAGAATGGGACCTTTGTGTCCTGTTCGCCACTGCGCACTAGCACCAACGACGCTGACTGACACACAGGACAGACTCAGAACAGCAGCCAAGAACCTGGAAAGTAACACTTCCTGGTGACAAGGGATGAAATGAGGCCTTTTAAAACAGCGCATGGTGACTATACAGTAAATCCTTAAGTGTCTCACCTTCTGGTACTCATCTCATACAAATTTAGCTTCAGTTATTATGTGTTCTCCAAGTCCAACATAGCTGAAAAGAATACAACAAAATCCAGCACTCAACAATGTGAAGTACGCAAAGTCCAGCATCCAATGACAAAAACAAGAAGGAAAATAGAACACATAACCATGAGGGAAACAAATCAACAGAAACAGACCCCAAAACAACAAAAATGATGCAACCAATGGACAAGAATCTGAAACTGGTGATTACAAACTCTTACATGTCAGAAAGCAGAAGAAAACATAAACGTGAGGAGGAAAGTGTAAATGTAAAAAATTACCAAATGGAACTTCTAAAGAGGAAAAATATATCTTACAGTAGAGTATCAATAAATCTGAAGCAATAAAAAATCCAAAATGAAGCACAGCAAAAAACAAGACTGAAAAAAAAAAGCATTTCTAAAACAAAAATCGAGATGTCTAACATGCGGGTAATGGTATCCCAGAAAAAAAGGTTATATAAAGAAATTGTTGAAAATTTTCCATATTCGATGTGACTGTAAACTGGCACGTCTTAAAAACTCATCTGAACCAAAGCGCAATAAACACAAAGTGAACCATACCAAGCACATCAGTAAAAGGCTGAAAAGCAATGATGAAGTACAGATCTGAGAAGCAGGCAGAGGAAAACATCCCTTCTGTACAGAGAAGCAAAGGCAAGGATGACAACACGCTTCCACCAGAAACTAGGGAAGCCAGCAAAGAAATGACCAACAATCTAGAATTTTGAACAAAAATGACTTTTTTTTAAAGATTTATTTATTTGACAGAGGGATCACAAGTAGGCAGAGAGGCAGGCAGAGAGAGAAAGGGAAGCAGGCTCCCCGCTGAGCAGAGAGCCCAATGTGGAGCTTGATCCCAGGACCCAGATATCATGACCTGAGCTGAAGGCAAAGGCGTTAACCCATGGAGCCACCCAGGCGCCCTGAATAAAAATGACTTTTTAAAATGAAAGCAAAAGAAAAACTTCAGACAAACAGAAGCTCCCCTACACTAGAAAAATGTTCAAGGCAGCCCTTGAGGCCGAAGAACAGGCACAGATGATTGAAGCTACACGCAGGAGGAAAGAGCACCAACCCAGTAATGGGGAAGGGGCAAGGGTTCTTCTCATTTTATAAGTCTTTTAAGAAGATAACAGATGACTACATAGCTGGTGGAACTCAGAGTAAATATTTTAAGGCTCCTTATACTACATACCAAGTATATAATATTCTCTGAAAGTATAAGTTGAAAAGTTGAAGATCTGTATTATGAATTCTAGAATCACTAAAAATAATGAAACAAAGCGATACAGGTAATAAGTCAAGAAGAGGTAAAACAGAATCATAAGAAATATTCAAGGGGTGCCTGGGTGGCTCAGTAATTAACTGACTCTTGATCTCAGCTCAGGTCCTCATCTCAAGGTCATGAGTTCAAGCCCCGCATTGGGCTCCATGCTGATGGAGGGAGGGAGGGAGGGAGGGAGGGAGGGAGGGAGGAAAGACAGACAGAAAGAGAAAATATTCAATTAATCCAACAGAAAGAAAGAAAAATAAAAAATTCAATTAATCCAAAGGAAAAAAAGGAAAGTAGCAAACAACAGATGGGCAAAAAAAGGAAGGAAAAAAAAAAGCAAGATGGTAGATTTACATCTACACATATCAATAATTACATTAAATGGAAATACTTAAATTTTCCAATTGTCAGAAGAGATAGTCAAGTTGGATTAAGAAGCAAGAGGCACCATGCTTTCTACAGTGGATTATAAAGACACAGGTAGGTTAAAAAAAAGATTGGGAGACATACTGCATGCAAATACTAACTTAAAAAGGCTGGGTAGCTCTATGAGTATTAAGACTAAGTTGGCTTCAGAACAAGGAATGCTAGCGGCAATGAAGGAGATGATGACGGTAAAAATAAAATAAATAATAATGGTAACATGACTGATTTAACAAGCAAGAGCAGTGGTAAATAAGTAAGGACTCCAATAACAGAACTCAAAATACATGAAGGAGGAATTAAAAAGAGAAATACACAAACCCGCAGTTATGTTTGGAATTTCAGCAGTCCTTTCAGTAACTGACCTAGACAAAAAC